AACAAGTCTGTGAAGACAGAAGACTCCTTTCTGATGTCCACATTACACCACGCCTGCTGAACAGAGAAGAGCTTCTGCTGCCATCCAGCAGTCATCCAATGGTGTGTGTGGACTCTGCAGCCTCTTCTGTTGGCTGTCATGGTCCCTTCAGCAGCTGGTGACTTCCCTGGATGTACTACACACCCTTCAAACATCTGCTGTAGTAGAGCTGCCAAAAGCTCATGAGTACATATATATTCTGACAGCTGAGCAGCAGCAGCTGCTCTCTGCTGCACAAACTTCTGGTGGCAGAGGCAGAAATTGTGGACAAGGTCTGCCTTTAAACTAGCAAACTTGGGGCCTTGTCACACCTTAGGCTGTGAGCTGAACAAATGTTAACAGGCTCAGTGTTGTTTGTTTTAGTGGAGCAGTCACACCATAAGGTGAAAAACTGTCTCCGGCTGTCTTTCACCTGCTCAGCTGTGACTTGTCACTAGAGGCTTAGGGAGAAGGAGCAGGTCTAGGAGCTAGGGGAAGCACCAGCTCCTTGCTTCTACCAGATGGAGCAAGTGCCACAGCCCCAGAGTGCCTGGTGGTCACAGTGCCTCCCACTGCTGCCCAGACCAGCTCACTGCTTGAGCTCTGAGGGGCCTGCTCCTTTATTTCTCCAGAGCCTGCTCTGCTGCACCGCCCCTGCCTGGGTTGCCACCCAGCTGGGCACTACCTCAGCTCCAGAAAGGATTGGGCCCCTCAGAACTCAGGTGCGGCCAGCTGGCCAGCAGTCTAGCTGATGGTGGCATGGGGGGAAAAGCTCTGGAAAAGAAAAAGGATTGGGCCCCCAGGACCTAGGCATGTGTCAGGTGGCTGGAGTACAGCAGAGCTCAGCAGCCATAGCATGGCAGTCCTAGGCTGGTTCCCACTGACCCTGTGCTCTGCCAGGCTGCACAGGGTCCAGCCACCAGCTCCCTCCACCTGACTCACCCAGCAGCAGCTGTGATTAGTAGGCATTTGAAGTCCCTGAACCCCCTGTAGCAGCCAGGCAGCACCAGGTATGGTGCATGGGGCTTAGCACTGCCCATCCAGGCTGAGGCTGCACAGGGGAGGCAGGGAGGCTGCGTTACTCAGAGCTTCCTCCCAAGCCTGGGAAGTCACATCCCTGTACCTGCCTCCAGGGGTTCAGGGGCCTCAGGTATCTTCCCATCACAGCCGCTGCTAGGCAAGCTAGATGTGGGGAGCCAGAGGCCAGACCCTGCACAGCCTGGATGAGTAGGAGGTCAGCAGGAAGTGGCCTTGGGTTGCCACGTTGCAACTGCCAAGCTCCACACTGTTCCAAACATTTGGCCCCACCAAGGCATGTATCCAGTCCTGGGGGCACAGACACTAGTCAGGGGATGCACTGCAGCAGACTGTGGGGCTGGGCACAGGTTCAACCATGGGTCAGTGAGAGGGGTGAGCACCAGCCTGCTGCCCCACACAGGCACTGCAGTCCGAGTGTGACTGGGCATTTGGTGCAGTGAGCCAGTCCAGGAGGCACAGTAGTCACCAAATGCTCCAGGGCTGTAGCATTGGCTTTTCTGTTGCCCAGGCCCACTGCACCCTGGCATCCCTGCCCTAACTCAGGAGAGAACACTGCATCCTGGGATGCTGGAGGACTACAACTTGGGTGTAACAGCTGTGGAGATTGTCCATACCTTCAGGGAACAGGAGTAAGGTTATGCAGATTAGAAATAATCCTGTCTGGGAGTGGCATAACTTTAAACTGAATTATGAGTGCTTTAAGACTCTTAAAAGGTTAACGTGCAGCAAATCCAAGGGTTAAGAGCTCCAAAAGCCACCTAAAATTACCGTGTAGCAGGTCCTTGGGTACTGGCTGCAGGGGTGCTGTGGTAGCATGGAGCTTATTGGAGTATTTATTGAGCAGTCTTGTTTGGGTCTTGTAGTTCACTCTGAACTCCATCCTGCTGTGAATATACTAGTAATGGTGCCTGAGCTAACTATATTTAAGGTAGCTAACTCAGGTTTGCCTGTACAAGCCACCAACAAAGCAATGACTACAGAGCAGACATAAACCAAGTCTCTTGTGTAAAAGGAACTTCAGCATCTCAGGCATGTCTGACAATTCTGTCCCTTGTATGAGTATAAAAGTGTATGATGCACATTTCTTTGTGGACTCAATCTTGATCTGGGGTCTCTGAGGTCTACTGTAGTATCATCATCACCCTACATGATTTCAGTATAACTCTACTACTTTGACCCTATTAAATATATTGGGACTTTTCAAGATTTCTGTCATCTGTGTATTTGAGAGCCTTAATGATAGAAACACTTCTACTCTAGTAGTTCATTCAGTTCCTGCATTCCTGCACCTCGCTGACCCAAATTACCTGGGTGAAAGTAGTCTGAGGGAAAGCTGAGTTTAGCTGCTGGTGTTCATTACCTGAACTCTGGCTTCAGTGAGGTTGACTCTGCGTGCAAGGTCTTCTCGTACAAAGGCATCAGGGTAATGTGTCCTCTCAAAGACTCTCTCTAATGCCTGAAGTTGGCTGCTATTGAAGGTGGTCCTGTTTCTCCTCTGCTTTCTTTTCTTCTTCTCTTCTGAGTTCAATTGATCATCTAGAAGGAGAGATAATTGGAAAAGTGAAGTGCTGGAAGAGCCCTCCAAGAGGAACAGTAGCTGTAGAGGCAAACAAGTGAATTAATTTTAAGATGGAGCTTGATGAGCAGCCTGCGATCACAGGGGCCTGGATTTGATGAGCCTTTCAGTCCTAAATTACTAGCACTGGTATCTTCTTTTTATACCCAGCTAATTGCTACATCTGTCCCTTTTGAAATGAGAGAAAAACATCAACATCCTGACCACTAGGATTAAACTTTAAAACACACAATTTTCATGTATTCATATAGATTTACAGATTCATAGATTTTTGAGGTCAGTGTCTGTGGTGGGAAGGGGGGGTGACTGCCCATAGGCAGTGTCTGTAGCGCCTTTTTGCAGGGGGTGTACTGCTAAGCTCAGGGGATGTACATGCACCCACGTGCACCCCCTACGCATTGCCAATGAACAGTTTCACTGCATTGTAATGGAACTGAAATGACCTATTCCCTCTGCATAATTAGTCTAGAATACTGAACAAATGTCATGGGCCTCAGAGATGATGGTAACTGAACTGTTGTCCTCCAGTTCCTGCCATCATGCAGTTAGTGGGGGCAAGACTGGTTTCCATTGCATTGCAATATTTACTTAGACTTAAGTAAACATTTCATCCACAATTTATTGCATTAATTTTGCACTTTCTTATGAATTATCCACAAATGGGTTTGAAATCTTTACCTCTCTGTAGACAATTGAACTTTTATTTGCTTTTCAGTCTTGCTCATTGCTCAGTGAGTTAGGAGTGCAAACTAAATTTTGCTAATGCTTTGTCCGTTACGGCTGCGCGAAGCTTCAGTCACTGATTTGATTCAGCAGAGATTCGGCCCGATTCAGTGGCCAAATCTCTATATCTGAGTCAAATCAGGAGACCCTTTAATCTCTCCAAATCAAATCAGAACACTTCAAATCAATTCAGAGAGATTTGACAATTCAGACATAGACACAGCTTTAAAGGTTTTTTCCACATTCCTCAATGTATGCAGAAAACTAGGTGGCTTGTGGATGCTGAGATGGTGGGGAGGATGGAGCATCCCACGGGAGCATGGAGGGGTCTCCAGCACGTTTGGCAGCAGACCCAGAAGTGGATCAGAAGGACTTCCGGTCCACTTCCGGGTCCGCTGGGGAATGCGTGCCCCCACCCGGGCAACTGGTGCCTCCTAGGTCTGTGGGGGTACCTGCAGTCCCCCCGTGGCTGATCACTGAGCTGTGGGGGGAGGCGGGTCTGCTGCGCTCCTGTGGTATGCTCCACAGGGTATCAGCCCCACGATCTCAGTGTTCACGAGCCATGCCCGGTACCTTGAGATATGTATAAAAAACATTTAAAGCTGTGCCTATGGCCAAGTTGCTGATTCTCTGAATCAGCATCAAATCTTCAGATTCCGATTCAGCTGAATCAATTCAGGACAGTGATCCAAATCAATAAATCAAATCACTGTCCCCCGAATTGCCACCTCCCTGCTGGGCCCCCTTTGGCCCCTGGGGGAGGCTCACCTGGGCCTAGAGTGAGTGAGGATTTAGTTAGGGAGCTTCTGGAGGGGCTGGACATTTTTAAGTCAGCCGGCCCGAATGATCTTCACCCTAGAGTCCTAAAGGAACTGGCTGGGCTCATTGCAAGTCCCCTGGCACGGCTTTATGAACACTCATGGTGCTCTGGAGAGGTGCCGGAGGACTGGAAGAGGGCCAACGTGGTTCCCATCTTCAAAAAGGGGAGGAAAGAGGACCCGGGGAACTACAGGCCAGTCAGCCTTA